GGCATGCAGACAAGCACGCAGGCAGGCACGCAGGCAGGCAGGCACGCATGCAGGCAGGCAGGCATGCAGACAAGCACGCAGGCAGGCACGCAGGCAGGCAGGCACGCATGCAGGCAGGCAGGCAGGCAGGCAGGGAGAGAGGCTCTTTGTGTGGTAAGCCCTTTGAGTGCCTAATTCTGCAGACTACAATGGAACTCCTACACTGTCACAAATGTTTGCAGTTCAAAGTCTTTTTTCTGACAAATTAAATATTTGTTGGCTACACTGACTACACATCATCTTGACATGGGTAAGTCCGAGGACAGAGAGGGCAGAAGAAAAGTATGCAGACAAACAAAACTTGCTCATACTCTCAAAGTGGTATCATAGGGTTCCTGGTGCTACGGTGCCCTTTGACTCCTTGATTCTGGTAGCACGTCTTCCCTGGAGACCCGAGGGCATGTCCACTGGTACTCACCTGAAACGACTCCTCTCCTCACGCTCAATTCTCAGCAGCCGTTCCTCCCTCTCCATCCTCCTCCTCTCCCGCTCCGCAGCCAGAGATTCCTGGTGCTGCCGGTACGACGAGGTCAGCAAACCCCCCAGGGTTGGTCGGGAAAAGCCCGCAGCAGGAGAGGAGCTAGACATTACAAACACAACTGGCATTATTAGAAGTTTAGTGTTGTGGAGTTGGCAATTTTAGGGAGTGACCCCATGAGCTGGAAAGTCTGACAATAGGCCTGCATATTTCGGTCAGACTTTATGACAGCAATTAAAACTTGATTATTTGGTTGGAAGGCAGTACTGTGGGTTCAGAACTTAGCAGGAGGACCTCTGTGAAGAGCCACAAATCCATGTAACTGGCTATTTTATTACTCCAGTCTCAGAGCTCTGCTGGCAGATTAGAACTGGCTGATCCAGCACAGAAACACCTCATATTCTGAGAAATGCCACTGGCTCTGGAAAAGTCCATATTACTTTCACACATTGATGTCCTCACCATTAGAGAGCCATATAAAGTAATCTAACATCTCAGTGGAGCCAAACCGGCCAAACATCAGGACTCAGGTCCTGAGAAAGGCCGACGCTTAACAGATGGTCCTTCTCACCTGGAGTCTGCTGAAGGAGACACTGTGGCACTATAGCGACTGGAGGGTGTAGAGGGGGCACTAATGCTAGAGTAGGATCGGCCCATGTATGGACTCCCTTGGCAGCTGTTCCTAAGACAGCAAGGGGAGGAATGCGGAAGGGACAGATTGGGGTTATATAGTCAAGATAATGCAGTTATATCTGCATCTTAAACATACAATTTCAAATCAAGATTCAAAATCCAAGTTCATTTATCATGTACGCAGTCAGTTCCACCAAGCAATGAAAATCTTACCTTGATGGTCCTTCCACTAAACACAAATTAACACACAACACAATAGTAACAACTCAAATAACAGATAAATAAATATGTAATAATTGTTAAAAACTGAAAAATTTAAAAGCCTTGAAAGTAACAATTTCCGAATATAAGAAAACAGGACAAATGGGAAGCAGATAGCGAGTGTATGAGGGTAAAGGTTAGGCTTAGGGTTAGGCTTAGGGT